ACTGTTAGCAGTTCCTGTGTGCAGCCATCGAGCCAGGGATGCCAAAACACCAAACTCCTTGCCATCGAGTTGATGCCAACTCATAGCAACCCTATAGAACAGATGGACTTCCCAAATCAACCAATGAAAGCCCTATGGGTCTCAATAGTCGGATGGGCACCCATCGTGGGGAGGGAGGGCACAGAAGCAGGGAGCGTTCTGTTGAAGTGTGCAGGTGCTGCCATGACTCAATAGCAACGAGCAACAACACGGTGCAGGAAGGTCACCGGACACTGGGGGCAGACGGATCAGAGAAGTGACCGCACGGCTGGTCCGGGGCACACTCTCACTGAAGAGTAACATCTGATGAGTACAGAGGGGTGACACTGAAGAGGCCTTGGCTTGAGTGGGAGACGCTCTCCATGGGTTACCAACGTGAGGGCCAATGACAGAGATGTAGATGAGGTTTGATAAATAAAACCAATTCACTTAAAAAGTGATCAACATGGTGTGATCAACAGCTAATAAACAGACAAGTACTACCAGGTAAAAATCCGTTGTTGTTATTGTTGTTGTTGTTGATCTTGAACCAAAGATAGGGCAAAACTGAGGCAGCAAAGGCCATGATCGGAGCAGGCAGGTCTGGCAGCAGTGCACCCGTGGAAACGAAAACACGGAGACGGGAATCTCAGAGACGAACGAGAAGGCAGTGCAGGAGGGCAGAGAGCAAGGGGGCGGGGCAGTGGGGAAGAGCAGAATCAGAAGTACGTACGTACGTTGACGGCATCGCGGGGAAAGAGAAAGATGACTGGCAGCTCAGGTCTGAGAAACCGATATTGTCAATCTCACCAAGTTTGAGAAGGACAAGGACACAGTCCCTGGCTTCACGGTCCTGTATGTTTAAGAAGCTCCCGCCCTTGCCGGGATCCTCCTGTCAGGTCTCCCTCACCAAGTAATAAATAGAACCTTCTCCTATCTCCCCACGACAGGAAAACGCACACAATCTCAGCGCATCTAAGACATCATCAGTTGCCATACAGATCATCATTTAAGTTCCACTAAGAATTGCTAATACAACGATGATATGTTACCAATTTTAAGATGCATCTAAATTTTCAGATGTTACAATGTGAGCAGGGAGGGCATTTCTCTAAATCAATGTCTAAAAATGTCTTTTCTCCCCTGGGGGCCTCTTCCTCCTAATCATCCACCCCCACCATTCCTCATGAAAATTTAAGGCCACAAATACACTGCATATGTGTTTCTATGCTATAAGTACATCTGTGCTTTATAGACAAAAGGAACTACAATCATTTTCACCCCCTCCCCACACTCCCACACCCCTCAAAACTTTGCTTCCTGTGGAGGAGGGGGGCCATCTGCCCTAGGGCTGAGGACACACGTGGTTTGCGTTACCTGTCCAGGTGCTGGCATTTCCTTCCCGGGAGCCTTTTCTTTTGAGAACGAAGCATAAGCCATACCGAACACTGCAGTTCAGGTGGCCCGTGTGCGTGTGTATCGGGCCTGGTGGGGACGCTGACCTGCAGCTGCTCCGCAGGACAAAGATGAGGCCGCCTCCCCCCAAAAGATCGACAGCCTCAGAAATAATAAAACACTTCTACACTTGGGTTTGTTTCGGGGGGGTTTACGGGGGTGGTGGGGGTGGTGTTTGTTTCGACATTCTTCGGAAACGAATGACATTTCATTATGATCTTGGTAGGCCTCTTCCTTTATTACTAAGCATTAAGAGTAATCTGCCTGCTTCTCCCCCCAGACATCTGACAACAGGTAACTGGACAGAAGGAACCCGGAGGGAGGGCTTACTGCAGGCATCAGAGCCCAATTGGGTTTCCGGAGCCGCTCCTGCTTCAACCCCCAAACCGGGGCGCTGGCTGTGGAGAAGAGGCCTCTGATGGCAGAGAACACCCACTCCCACGGCTGTCCTCCTCGTGCCAGGGCCCGCTGCCCTCGGGGACACCCACTCACCACCAAAAAAGGGGGCGCAGAAAAATCCCAAATTCCTGACATGAGAACGCTCCCCCCTTTGAACAGAAATTAACCTCTTTACAGAGTCTGTAATTTAGGTCTATAAAAAGAATCTACTTAGCACTCAATAGTTAGGAGCTCTTACCACAGTTGAACAGAACAGGAACATTTCCCTAAGTTTCTATAAAAACTTTTTCAAAAATTTAAAGCATCTGTAATTAAAGGGCTCCCTGGCACAGCACGGTAAGACGTTGAAGAGTGCTCTATTTATATCGATGGCGGCTTTCGAGTTGCGGGAGAGTTTACTGAAATCCCTATAGAACATCAATAATCACAGACTGAAACATCACAGTGTTCCCGAGTTTTTAATCAGTATTACTTGTGCCAGGAATGTTCAAGAATCCATAGCCCTCTCTTCTGCCAACCCCAAGCCAAGATGCAGTTATTCAGTCGTGCACTTCCACAAATTCCCAGTGAATTACTTTCCAGTCTGTGGCGGCGTTAATTAATTATTCATCCTCTTTCCAGCAGCTCCCAAAGTTCATTTGACAGAGGATAAGATTCTCCCTCCACCCTTTCCATTCAATGGAAGTGCTCTCGCTGCCGCTTCAATTACCAGAAAATTAAGATGACTTAATTAGGGCAGATGTCAAAATAATTAATAGCCCTCTGGTAGATAACTATGCTAGTAAAAGCAACACAGCTGTAATTAAATCAAAAATGGAATCCTCCGGAATCCTAGGGGGTTGGGGGAGTCAGTAATACTCCCACAAAGATGACCTTCCTGAAGGGGAGGTGACCTCAGTGATAAAGCTCCTGATGCTGAATACAAATATTCAAACCCCCGCAATAAAAGTAACTGTTGTGTGAAAATGTCAACATCCACAGGTCAAGAATGGAGCCCAGAGAACACCTGTAATGAGACTGCTGAAGACCAGAGAGGGTCGTTTATTTTACCATGCTCCCTAGCTGGTGAATCCTGGTGCAGAATGTTAATGTAAGATGGAGAGATGCTGAGTTTTAATATACCGTATACACTCAAGTATAAGCTGAGTTTTTCAGCACATTTTTAATGCCGTTTTTGCGGTAAAATTAGGTGCCTCAGCAGATATTTGGGTCGGCTTATACTCTAGTATATATGGTAAGTGTTGCATCTCTTCTCCCTTGAAACTGTCCTTCTCCCATGACCTCTTTAGAAGCTGAAGACCCAGCGCCTTCTCTGAGTGGGCAAGTGACGGGCACTCCTAACAAAGCCCCTGGCCCAAACATGGCTAAATCCCACAAAATAATGACCCGATCCTGCTGGAAACAGGAAAGGGGAGTTGGCGCTCGGTCTGGAGCGCCCGGGTAAGGCCTGCCTGAAGAACCCCCACTGAAATCAGGCTGAGCCCTGTTCATCTCCATCCTTCCAGGTCTTGGGCAAAAGGAAGCTCCCTGAGAAGCTCGCGGGTTCAGCAAAGCACCTCCTCCTCACATCTTAAACATAGAAACAAGGGCCTACAGAATGTATTTTAATTTCTGTCAGAACTAAAGCCATGCTTGCCTCCTGAGTAAGTCAGATCCAGAAGCACTAGGCACACGGTGTGTGTGTGTGTGGGGGGGGGGGGGGGGGGGGGGGGGGGGGGGGTTTCAATCCCCAACACCTACAAGACAATGAACACTGAGAGCTTCAGAAGTGGGTTCCCAGAAACAAAACTATGACAACAGCACCACCCAGTGGCACTAGGAAAAGCTGCATGTGAGGAACCGGCGGCTCCATCTCCGAAGTGATTTCTCATCGGGCATCCAAACAACTCAGCAAATACTTGCTACGTGCCGGACAACTGGAAATGGCTGTTAAGCCTCCTCAGAGTTCAAGTAAGTTCAAATGTTCTAGCCAATCTAGCACACGGCGATGAGATAAAACATAGAATGCATATACATTCTATACAATACTTGGAACAGACCTACTAAAAGGCCATTGGATGGGTGCCTTGTGTTTTCATTTGCTAAATCTGGCCATTTATACCACCTCTAATCTGAATAGCCCCATCCTCAAAGTTTCCAACCAGCAGAGATTCTACACAATCAAGACTTCCAGTAAGTGGCAAGGAAGCCATCGAATGACCCCAGTGTGCTACAGTCCTCTGGTGCCAGCACGAGGGCACTCAGTTCCGATGCAAAGGACTAATGGTGGGGGCCCAAGGGCGGAGCTGGAGATGAAACAGGAGCGTTACCATCAGACAGAGATGCTGGGGGTACAGATGGTTAATGTGCTTGGCTGCTAAGGGCAAGGCTGGATGGGACTTTTGAGCCCCACGGAGGTGCCTCAAACGACAGGCCTGCGGATCTGCTTCTGAAAACTCAGCCGCAGTTCCTGAGCACAGTTCCAGCCTAGGACACACAAAGTCACCGCGCGCGAGCGGAGGCAGCTCAACAGCAACTGGCTTACGTACCAGAGGAGGAAGAGGAGGAAAAGGAGATGGGGTTCAGAGACAGGGAGAAAGAGGAACCCACCATCTTTCGCTCTTGACAGTTTAACCTCTGAAAGGTGTCCCTGTTCCCATACCACAGAAGATGGGCGTTCCACTCCTGTAAAGAGTCAGTCTCAGAAGCCCACGAGGGCCGTTCCGCCCTGTCCTGAGGGGTCGCTGAGTCCGGGCTTGGTTTGGAGGTTTGGGTGACTGTCATTTTCCTGCACGTGGCCCATATCCACACTCCAGCCTTCCCTTCTTTACGGAAAGGGTTATCAAAACGGTTGTTTCCATGCAGTGGTTTGTCTGCCACGACTGGCTATGGCGCCCAGAGGCCGGCACGCACCTTTGCAGTGAACGGCGATGGCCCCTTCCGCGTTCTCACCGATGCTCAGGAACCTGCGCACGATGTTGTCGCTCGGGGTGCTGCCGTCGATGAAGAAGAGGTCGTAGTGCTCAAAGCCAGCGTCTGTGAAGCGCTTCGCCTCGTAAATCTTCTTATTCAGTCTCACGACTGCAGTCACGTTGTGCTTCTTGAAATAAGGAAAGTAGGCTTCGGGGGCGTGCAGCGGGTAACCTAATGGGGAATCATAAACAAGCAGTAAGCAAGACGCGGACTTCACCTTACAAAACCCACGGAAACACCTTAACCAGACAGCCTGTGTCAATCTCCTGAGTCGAGGAGAGCAGTGCTTTCTTGAGAGTCAGGTCGCAGAGCACAGCAAAAGCAGCTGTCTGGACAAGTGGTGAGTGGCAGAAGGCGAAGATTTGGAGGGTGCTCGTTAAAGAGTTCTGGGAGCATCCTTCAAGACACGCATTGGGTGGCTAACCTCGAGGTCAGCAACTTGAAGCCCCAGCAGCTCCCCGGAGAACGGCGAGGCTGCCGCCTCCTGTGCGGAGTGCTTTCAGACCCCACGGGGCAGTCTGGCCTGGCCGGGAGGGTCCCTGGTGGTAGATCTGAGCAGAACGTGTTTCACAGGTACAACTTGGTAGCATAACTGTGCTCATGTTGTGGCGCTGTCTTCATGAACCATTTCCAAAGTTTTCCATCACCTTTAGCAGAAGCCTGTGTCTCCTTAGCAATGAGTCTCACGCTTCCCTCCCTCTACTCGCCTTTTGTAGAGATTCCTGTAAGTGGCCTCGTGTAGTATTTGTTCTTTGGGGACTGACATTCACTCAGCGTGATCACTCCAAGGTTCACCCAGGATGTCTGTAGCCTGCACCGGGTCGTCGGCTCTCTGTGTAGCTCAGTAAGAGGCCACCGTGTGCCTGCGCCACAGTTGATCCATTCATTTGCGTCATTTTTGTTGGATATTTGGGTCGTTTCCATTCCCAAACAAAGGCATTCTTGATGCACTTAAATGTGCGCAGAAGGCCTGGAATGAGTCTTTGTGCTTTCTGTTCCTGCCTGAGAATTGTTCTCCCCCTGACAAATCAAGCTCCATTATAACGAAAGCCTTTTTACCAGAAGTATAGTTTTACTATAGAGTACAGCCTTCCCACAAAGGAGGCTCATGCTTATTCAGCTATGATTGCATAATAACCGGAGTTGCTGGGTGGGACACATGGTTAAGGGCTCAGCTACTAATGAAGAGGTTGGAGCTTTGAATCCCTCCAAACGGGGGCATCTCAGAAGGCCCCAGCCAACCTGTGAGAAATGATGTGGCAGCAGTCAGCTTCCATAAAGATTCCAGCCTTAGACACCCTATGGAAATTGATTCAATGGCAATGGTTTGGAGTTTTGTGTTTAGTCTAAACCAGGGGTGTCAAACTGGCAGCTCCCCGGGGTAATTTTTTGTGGCCCACGATGCTCTGAAATAAAATGTAATGAGGGAATTAATTATGTGTACAGTATTGCCTCAATCTCCCCTAAGAGCTATTATCTTCATAACAATTTTTTTCTATTTTCATTTTATTTCAGAGCATCATGGGCCAAAAAATTACCTTGGGGGCTGCATGCGGCCCATGGGCGGCCGGTTTGACACCCTTCGTCTAAACCATTCAGGGTTCTTTAATTCACTGAATTCCAAGGTCATGTCAAAATTCATTCACGTAAAAATTCATTCGTGGTGTTAGGCTCTAATGAGCAGCAACAGCAATAGGCAGTACAAGTCAACCAGCATGTCTCAGTCCTGAGGTATAGCTTTGCCTTAGCGAATGAGTGTGGTTGAAATTTTTGCCTTCTGCCTAGCCCTCATTGCTTTCTGATACAGTGTTGGTGCTAAAGCTTTTAACCTGTATAAGTGAACATCTCTTGTATTTTAGTTTTAAAAGCTTCCTTTTCTGTGTATATTTTCCTTTGCTCAGCAGTACTTTAAAATCTATACTATTAGCTAGAACAATGACACAATTATTAAATTTACCAAATGTCACATAGAGGTTACTTAAATTATTTCTTAACAAGCTGATTGTGGTAGCTCTAAAGTAGACTAGGGATATACCTACACTTTAGATAAACAAATGAATTTTGAACTCACATTTAATTGTAAGCCCTAACCTAAGAATAAGTTCTTGCAATGTGATCCTGGTTAATACTTGCTTCATTAAGAGATCACTAAAGATAGGGGTGCTATAGCAAAGTATGGTGAAGAAAACAGATGGGTGTCCAGTTCTCAGAAAGAATATCATCTTGGGTTTTTAAAGGCTTACCTTAAAACAAGAAACTATCTAAGTGAAGTGTCAGGTAAATCCACATGGAAGAAGCACACCAGCACATGTGATCCAATGATTGCAAACAATCAAATCCAAGATCAGAGGAGGAAACTGTATTAGAACTTAACCACTATGCCACCACAGCTCCACACACACCGCAGTTAGGATAAAATTTAATGTATCATACATTTTGCCTTTGGACACATTTTAAATTTGTTCTAATTTCTATTATATTCTGCTTTCTTTTTTTTTGGATTGAGGTTTTTCTGTTTCATTTTGTTATCATTGGGGTTTTGATATGACTTTCTTTATATGAAATACAGCACAGGTAACCCACAGGAAGAGTAATGGGGTTAATAATTCCTTAGGGCTATGTCAGGGGAGGTTACAAGGGGAGCGTAATGGGGAGCTGCTAATAAAGGGTAAGAGAATGAAGAAAATGTTCTAAACTTGATTGTGGTGATGATTGCACAACTCTTTTTAATATATTCAAACCACTGAATTCTATTGCACGTGAATTAGAGGCCAATAAAATTGTTTTGGGTTTTTGTTTTGTTTTTTCAAAAGGGGCACTCGGGCAGTTCCTGCGCTGTGTCTTTGGCTCTATTTCCTGCTGCCTCTGGTCCTGCTTAGCTGGGCACTTCCTCGGATTTCCCTTCGCTCCAGGTCCATGCCAACCTTCAGCACCTGCTCTGTAACAAGGGGGCTTTGTTGCTGTCAAGTGCCAGAGTCCGTTCTGAGTCACAGCATCCTGGTGCTGCAGAACCACAGAACGAACCACTGCCCGTCCTGTGCAGCTGCACAATTCCTCTATTTGAGCCCATTGTTGTAGACACTGTGCTAATCCGTCTCAGCGAGGGCCTTCCTCTTTGTCACTGCCCAGCTACCAAGCATGATGTCCTTCTCCAGGGGCTGGTCTCTTCTGATAACATGCGCAAATTACAGCTATACCCAAAGTATGAGAGACAAAGTCCTGCCATCTTCTCTTCTCGGGGTATTTTGGCTACAGTTCTTTCAGGACAGATTTGTTTGTCCTTCTGGCAATCCCTGGCACTTTTAATGTTCTTTGCCAGCACCGTAATTCAATGCATCAAATTTTCCTCAGTCTTCCTTATTCAATGTCTAACTTTCACATGCATGGGGGAAAGGCCAAGGGAAATATTAGGGTTTGGGTGGGCGCATCCTAGTCCTCAAGTGACAGCCTTTACTTTTCAACATTTTTAGAGGGCTTGTGTGGCAGATTTACACAATGTAATGCACCGTTTGAAACAGTAACTTACAGAAAAACAAAATAGAGTAACTTACATACACACATTTAGAAGAGACAATGCTTTCATACTTGGAAAACCCCACAATGAAGCAAGTAGGAGCTTTCCTATCTTATGTGGAATAGGGGGCAGGGGGACCCTCTGCGTCCCTACCACTCCTGTATCTATCTCGACAATGATACTGACCCCCGGGGGCAGATGGTTGGTTTGGTGTTAACCTTCTACACCATCCCCCATCCAAGTTGATGGTCATTTTTCTCGTATGAATTTTTCTCAGGAGTAAATTACACTATAGATAACTATGCTCAGGCTATTAAGAAAAAAAGATGGGTATGTTTGAGAAGAGAAACATGGGCAGGGCTGTCAAATGATGGCAACAGGACTCCAGATGTGAACAATGGTGGTAGCAACAGAACAGCACCGAACACTTACTATGAGCCAGGCACCATGCCTTGTGAGTTGTGTGGCTTTCTCATTAAGCCTTACCGTGTAAAATCAGTTACACCCAACAGGCAATTACAATGCCCTAAGACCAACTGTGGGTGCTATCAATGATTTGGGAGGATGCTTTTGGTGGGAGGCTCCAGGGAGCTGAAAGAGCATTCATCCTGCCCTTGCGCCAAATGACCACTAGATGGGGCCCAGCTGACAGTAAAGCACATGCAGACTCCGGGAGGCCAAAAGTTGAGCTGATGAGGGCCATAAACAGAATCTCAGAAGGAAAGTTTGCTTCAGGCCAGCCCCCATGGTAACAGTGAGCAAAGAGAAGAAGAGCAGAATCAAGTAACTATTCCAAGCATATCATTAGTAAGGGTAAAAACTGCAGAACTGGCTGAAAAACATTGCGAAGAAATAAAATGCTGTCTGTTGAGCACACAAATGATTAACAATACAATCATAGCAGTTTTTTATTAATAGGCTAGAGTTTGATACATTTGTCCTTAATGAAAATGTATTGCTAACAAAATTAAGAGTGGGGCCTCTTCCCTTTCCCACACTTATCTAGCGTGAATCAAGACTGTTGCTTTAAGTAGCATTCTCGGCTTGATCTCTGGGTTCTAATATCCATTGCAATGGCTACCCAGAACCCGCAGACAAATGTCATGATTAGAGAGGGTTTTTTTTTTTAAAGGAAGTTAACAAATCACAATGCCAGTGAGAAATGCTCAGAGTTGCACTGCATATCAGGACACATTCCAAAGAGCTAATAAATGTCCAGAGGGCATATACCACTCCACTGGAAGCCATTCAGCTCCACTTCTGTGAGTCACCACGCCCAACTCCCAAGTAAGGGTCCAGAGGCACCCCACTCCACAAACCAGCCTCCTGCACAAAAGACTAATGTGCCTGCTCCGTGGGTTGGGAAGACCATCACTCTGACACGTTATCCGGACTCCTGGTTCTGCTGCTGCTCCTCTGGTGTGACAGCTATTCTCAGCACTCGGGAAGTTCACAGCATAGGGATCTTGGGTCCAGAGCATGTACTCCACTGGCTCCTGCTGGTAGTGAGATTTCCACCCCATCGTGCTTCTCAGAGGGCTCACTTTAGAAGAAGGGTGGCAGTCCAAGAAATCCTGTCCACAATTATTCACGGGTGAATCCAATCAGTATCTTCCTCCACCCTCTTACCACAGCCACGCAGGGAAAGGGCGCTTGTTGCGATGTTGAGACTTTGGCTAGAAGAACCACATTAATCAATCCACGTCCCCTGCAGCCTACTTGCTCTCTGTTGTTGATGCAAGCACACACTTCAAGGCTCGTAGAATACATTCTGCCTCTGGCCCAAGATTTTAGCACTTCCTTCTACTGTATCCTAGAAATAGTTATTTGACTGTTAATCCCTTAGAATCTCAGTTTCTCTACTAACAAACCCCACCACCACCCCCAAGATGACTTCCAAGCAGGATCAGTGCTTCAGGAAGTACTGGGGTCTTTGATTGGAGGCGAGGAGGGGGCTCCTGGGTTTCTGTGCAATTAGATCAAGTGCACACATTTCCTTCATGAAGTTACTTTTTAAAGTTAAAAAAAGGGAGGGGGGAATTTCTAATGAAATTCAGATCTTTAAATGAGAACCTATTAATATGTATCAATTTTGGTCTTAAAGGAAACTCACATCAGAAAGGTCCAGTAAATATGAAGCAGCACTTTCAGACACGTTTTCTTGAATGTGCATATCCACAATGTTTGCAAAGAAAGAATGATAAAGACACACACACCGTTCTTTTTTTTTTAACATTGTGTTTTGAGTGAAAGCTTTCACGGCAAGTTGGGTTCTCATTTGACAATTCCCACACCAATTTTTCAGCGACAATACTTGCATTTTTCACACCATGCCAATGCTCTAATTCTATTGGCAGTTAGCGTTTATGCTAACTTGCACCTGGGTGAAAGTGTGGGGATGGAGTCCAACCAATCAATCAGGTCACAGCCTGATGATGCCTCCTTGGGCGTGGGGCCTGTTCTACTACAAAGACACAGGGAGAACTTCTCCCTCTTGCCCCTTGCCTTCTCTTTATGGGGCCTCTGGACCTGCCTCCAAGGGGAGGCCCCGCGTGGGCCACTGATCGGGAAAGCTGTCCGCACGCTGCAATGAGTCTGCACGCACCGCCTCTGATCTTCCTGCATCCTGTTCCACCTTTCCGTGTCTCCTCTGCAGCCAGTTCCAGCTACAGCGGACCCGTGGGCTTGGGTTGGACTGGGCCGGGATGCCTTCTTGATATGAAATGACTGGATTTAAAGTTCTTTCTTATACGTACGTGAGTGTCACTGGACGGACACAGCTGTGGTCTAGTTGCTCCTTTTCGAGAACTCTAGTTTCCCTGCCCTCTTAGCTTCACTTTAACATAAAGGTTGTCCTTTTGGTCCCGGATAGATGAACCCATGAGCAACACCCTTTATTTTGTGTCCCGCTGCTGCTCCACGAAAAGGCCATCTCAGGGGATAGTTTTGGTCCAAGGCTTAGAGAATCTTTCAAAGAGATCATCGCGGACTGTCCTCCCGCCTCAACGGGTCTAGTCCGTCGGCTCTTTTGTTGAGTATTTGAGATCTGTGGTCTGTTCTACATTTTTTCTCCCATTGTATCTAAGGTCATCTACTGTGACCCTGGTCAGAACCGTCAACAGTGGGGTTGGGCACCACCTAGGTCTGGTCTCCAGGTAAATGTGATCGTGGTTTAGCAATCTATGGTGGCTATCATTAATTTCATTTATTTCAAATTGGGATCCAAACTTTTAAAAATGGTTTTTAAATGAAGAGTTATCACACAAGCTGTGCATATCCTTTTATCTGGCAATACTACTTTTAAGAATTGTGCATATCCTTTTATCTGGCAATACTACTTTTAAGAATTTATCATAAAGAACAAACTATAACTACAAAAATATATTTCATTGTGTGCCAACCACAGCAATTTTTTTAAGTGAAAATCTAAAGAACTTAGGTCTCACTTAAAAACTAAATTAAATGATAGTACAGTCATACAGTGGCATAATATACAATGTAGTCATAAAAAATGAGAATGTAGGTCTATGCTTCCTGCCAGGGCAAGACATCTGTAATATATTAAATGCAAACTGCTAGCTATCAAACAGTTCGTTGTGATCTCCTTTCATGTAAAAAGAGTATATGTGTGAATTAGAGCATTTCTACTCTGTCCTATAGGGTCGCTATAGGCTAAAATCAATTCAACGGGGGGTGGGGGGGTAGGGGCAGTGGTGCACATGTACAGGTAGCAGGATAAGTCACTTTTATGTTCTTTTCTTTAGTTCATCTACAGTCTTCTTTTTCAAATATATGCATGTATTATATAGTACAAATAATAAGTTTAATTACGTGTCTCGTCTCTTTAAGAAGCTTCTATAAAACACATTAATCACAAATGGCAAAACGTGTTTTGTTACATGAACACACAACAAGAAAACCACTACTTGAACAACACATCTACAAATATTCTCTCATGCTAAATCAGATGATTTTGTGCAAAAGGCCAAAGGTAAATTAAATCAATCCCATCTTGACAGATCAAATGTCACAAAGCTGTTTTCCCGGGTATTCAAAATATGATTCCTAACAATCTAGCATTAACAGAGGTTAATCAATGTCTGCAGGGAAAAGGACTCATGAGCAAGTTCATAAATGAGAGGCTCTACTTCTGGCTGTGCGGTAAAGGCCTTGCATTTGTGAGCACAACTCTCTCACTCTGCAATCCTCGTCCACAGAGAAAATCATGATCCTCACAGAGCTCCTGATTAGAAGCGCCACAGTTATGATGTAGTAAGCAAGCTTCAAGTAAATTCTCAATTCTAAATTAATGAATAACAATATATAATGAACTAAGTTTTACAAGAAGTAACATGACGATGAAGATGATAGTGATGCTGATGAAAGATGACGGGGGTGGGGTGGGGGGGGTGTTCATATTTTGTTCCCTCTGAGGACTGGCGTTACACTTCTACAAGCAAAGGGGGGCCCCAAAAATGAGCTATTGTGTGTATAAGTTATATTTTTACAAGTTTGCATCCTTCTCTCATAATGTGTTCTTAAATCTTTACTGTGGGTCATTTCTTGTCTCCAGCCCTGGTGACACACGGTAAGTACTTGGCTGCTAACCCAAAGGTAAGCAGTTCAAATCCGAGCACCTGAGGAAGAAAGCTGTGGCAGTCTGCTTCCCAAAACTGCAACTTTGGGAACCCTCTGGGGCCGCTCTACTCTGTCCTGCAGGGCTGCTGGGGTCCGACTCAACTCAATCAACCCAACAGCAATGGGTTCAGGAAATCTCAGCAAATGAAAAGAATAATGAATTCGTAGAAAATAAATATAAATGTAAAATCTCACAGAACTGGAGGCTTTTTGGTTTGGTTTTGCTTTTATTTTTTTCCTTGAATGTGTGCATTCACGGCTATATACATATACTATAAATAAGCCCCAAACTCACTGCCATCGAGCTAATGCTGACGCATAGCGCCCCTGTAGGACAGAGTAGAACTGCCCCTCTTTACTGATGTAGAAATTCCCATCTTTCGCGCAGAGCGGCCGGGGGTTGGTTACCAGCCAAACGTGTAACCACGGTGCTTCCACGGCTCCTTAGAGCATAAATATAATTACCACCAACTAGAAAAACAATTCCTCGTTGTTACAATGGAATTAATATTTCAGCATAGGATAATGTTTGGGAGCCTAGCTCTGGTTGCAGGACCAGTTCTGCCTACGATTATCTTTGGGCAAATTGTCTAACTTCACATAAGCTTCAATTTCGTCTAATGTAAGACTACGATAATAACAGAGTTGTGTGGGCATATAAGCTACTGCTGTGATTGGTAACTAGCATGTGGTACGTAGTCACCTACTGTCATCACTCTATTGTCAAGAACACGTGAAAAGCACTAACAGAATAATAGAGCAACCTGTTTCGTCTGGTTCTCTGGTTCTCTCTTGGTAAACAGATCTCACAAAGAGGTCGTGGAAACATGGCATGTTCTAGTTTTAAGATAGTGGTGATGGCTCCACCTACTGGATATATAATAATTAACACACGAATACTACACTTTAATTTTTTATAATCCATGTTATATTTAAATTTACTCTATGAGGAATATAACCAAAGGAAATGATTGTCAGAGAAAATTAAGAATATTAAAAAGAAGATAAACCAAAATAAATTTGAGAATGGTAAAATAAAGAAAAACCTACCATTTTCAATTTTGCTTTTTGGATGTGGTCCACTAAATGCTAAAAATTTTCCTGGAACAATCCAGTTGAAGTCACCATTTTCAACTCGCTGGCAGAATTTTGTGAGAAAAGAAAAAAAATTGTTTTTAATTTTCATACAGCTTAGAGAACATTTTAGGAAAGTTACAAATAAAACCACTTTTTGCACTTTTAGTACTAGACTAACTGGACATACATTAAGACAAAGAAAATTCACTCAAAATAAAAATAAATTTGATTCCCAAAATGCTATTTGTGAACATAAATCCCTTCATTTGGGGGCGGGGCCCTATAATCACACAGAAGTTTAGAGAACGTATTTAATAAGGCGGAGGTGCTGCTTTATTGACAGCGTCTTTTGGCCACTCTACTTTAAAACGAAATGAGAACCAGCATTATTTTGTCTGTACAATACAGGGAGGTGGGCGATATTATGAGGTATAAGCACTTTCCAAGAACAAAAAAACATACTTTAATCTGTATCTAACAAGGGCCTTGATGAAAAATGACCTTGGTTTCCCCCCCTGCTTCTCTAGATTGGTGTCCATTCTCAGTGCTGTCTTGTAGACCAGGGAAAAGAATGAAGCAGGGGTGAAGAACAGTGGTTCATTAACCCTGCAGCTAGAACACCAGCAGAGTCAACTACAGTCCTTACTAAACCTGCTAGGGGACTGGCAGGGGACAGGACTAGGAGCTCCTCACCATTGCGAATTAGTAACGCAACAGAAAATTGACCCAACCTGCCGATTAAACTTTGTTAAAAGCTGTTGGCTATTTTAAGTTACTGTATGCTATGAAGCCAAGTAAAACAAACCTGTGAGCCCTAGCTGTCAGCCCTGGGCTACACATCCCACGAGATTATCCTCAGAGAAGACACGCAGACACAGGGAGAGCCCTGTCTCCATTTTCTTCCCTTCTGCATATGCTCAGAATCCATGACTCAGTGGGGCAGAGTGGATTATACATAAAACTTTCTATGTCACCCTATAAATATCTAATCAACATAAACATAAAAGTATCTCCATAGTGTCCTAACGAAATTCTTAGAGACGCGGTGAGTACAATATCATGAGCACATGTGCCGAATTCAATCCCATGGAGGCAATCTGCTAATAATAATTTAGATTTAAAATTCTGTGCCTAGAAGTCTCTGTGGTAATTAAACACTTTATTTTTTAAACAGAGCACTCTCAAAATAATGATCCACAACTAATTGCTCTCACAAGCAATTATTAAATGTTAAACACAGATAAACCCTTCCATTTGAAACTCAAAAATAAAGGCATGTTCTACTGATCAAAAGGCTGAGACCAGATCTTAATGAACAATAAAAGAAAACAAGTTCCTATGTTTTGATATTTCTGTATTCCTGACCAGCAAGTGGGTCTAGATAAATATAAGGGGCTGCGTCTGTTTGGATTACAGATATCCACTTGGTTAAATAATAACCTTTTATAATCAATCATAGGGAGACAGGCAAAGGACTCCCTAAGATCATTCACTCAAAGAACAAAAGAATATGCTTACAAAGCTGCCTACTGACAACGACAAACACTCGAAAACACTGAGACAAACTCAGCAGCTTCAAAGGAGGCTGATGAAGTAAACAGAGACTTAGGTCTTAGCTCTAAATCTGGAGAGACAGAAAATCAATAAACAATGTGTAGCATTTAACTGATCTAATATAAGATAAGCTTACTTTGGTATACCTCTAAAATTAATACCGTGCCTTCTTTCATGGTGAATTACACAAATGACAACGTTTTTCAATAATAATAAAATCCTTATGATCACATACATTGGTTTTTCTATTTAGTCAGATGCATACACACACTTCAAAGAAATCCAGGTTTGACAGCACGTGGTGGTAATTTGCAGCCCACCACCTTCTGTAAACAAACAACTAAGCAAGGACGGGGCAAGAATAAACTCTTGCACTAAAACGCCCGGTCTTTCATACCTACTGCTCTGTGGAAGGAGGCTGGTGGCTCAGTGGTTAAGCATTCACAGGTGCTAACAAAAGCTTCCACGAGCTGCCCCAGTGGAAAGATGCGCGGTCTGCTTTCATCAAGATCAAGATCAGCGGATGGGCCCGGGCACCCGATGGGCAGTTCTCGATTCTGAGTCAGGAATGATGCCTAGTATGGTTTGGTTTATGATTATGTAGGCAAACGTTACTGTAAGAAACTCCCCAAATAGATCTCGGACTCTTGGAAACTGTTAACTTCAGAGTTGGGCTGGGTTTGGTTTTTCACTTTTCTGTAGATACCCTCAGACTACAGATCTCTTTTGAATATCTGAGTGTGTTTAAAATAAAATTTGATTTTAAAGCATGAACAATCATAACTTCTAAGAAATACATCTGTACCTGGGAGGCATGTCTCTGCTGTCAAAGTCACACGTATGTTTTTCGGACCAAAGAATGAAACCTATTGCGCAGTTAGTCGTTGGAACGAACTGACAGTAAGACACCAAAGGATAACCGAAGGATGGTCATTGAGGTTAACAGTTACAGGGTCGAGTGTCCCTTGTCTACAAACGTGTTTCCTAAAACAACGTGCGGAACACATGTTGAGGACACTTCAGCATGCATTTTGAACAGTTGCTGGGCCTTTTATTCTATAATGAGGACTAAAACTTGATGCTACATATAAAATAATAAAAACCTTCTCTCTGTGCACTTAGGCCAAAGGTGAGTGGGAGTAACAACATGACAGTTATACCAATAAGCGTAGCAAATACATAAATACCACTCTTCTATTTCCTGCAGCAGCTCGTTTAGTCTTAGCACTCGACAAGGTAGGCACACTTCGCACCTCCAGCTTAGCCGCCAGAAGAAGAGGCTGAAACCAGCTGGTGAAGTGCCCTAACCCAAGCTGCACCAGCTGGTGAAGGGCCCTAACCCAAGCTGCACCAGCTGGTGAAGGGCCCTAACCCAAGTACAGAGAGGTAGAACGGGGAGGGAGATAAGAAGGCGACCTTATAAAGTACAAAGATAGAACTGTTGTGTCTTTTTATTGTTTATTTTCAATGTGTTTTTATATTTTCCTAGCTTCTAAAATGACAGAATAATATTTACACTGCTGCTGTATTGCACAAAGTAACTTTAATGGTTAGCATTTTATTAGCTTAAAGCAAAGTAAATATTTGAATTAGTTGGTTTAAATTAAGTTGCCATGCCACTATTCTTTATTATTAGTGCAGATCTGTTTTTGAAAGCAGAGGGGAGAGCCTCCTGGGGTTGGCTCTGTGGGAGGCACTGCTCCAGAGGCTGCGGCACCAGAGCAGTGAGCGCCTCTGCAGACACAATGGCAGTGTGAGACCCAGCCCCTGCGTGGCGACACTCATCGTGCGCGCAAGAAACAAGGTGTGGAGTCAATGAAAGATGCACGGCTGTTGAACACGTGGAGAACTCCTGAAGAATGTGTACAGCCAGAAACCGTGAGGCCCTAGAACAGCACTGCTCAACCTGGGCGTCAAACAACCCCTTCACGGGGTTGCCCAATTCATAATAGCAGCAAAATTACAGTGATGAAGTAGCAACGAAAATAATGCTATGGTTGGGGGTCCCCACAACCTAAGGACCTGCATGAAAGGGTCGAGGCATTAGGAAGGTGGAGAACCGCTGCTCCAGAGGTTGTGTGGCCTTACACTTTTAGCAGACGTGCACAACTACACTGGCAAGAACTCACATCTTTCCGGCAAGTCAAAAGTACGGGCCAAGTAGTTTCCAGTTTACTATACAAAATCTCATTCAAAGCAAAGCCTTCAAGTAACAAACTTTTGGTGTTCAGCAAAACTGACTGCTGTTGCTGAGAGAGGGGAGACCTAACAAACCTTGTTGGTTCACCGGCATGTACGGCTGGAGGGCAAGGTCAGAGGTCTACACACACAGTCACGTGGACAAGTTCCTTAAAAACAACTAAGAGAGATGACAGAGTCAGCCTGGAGTAAGTCTCTGTCCACATAACAAACAGAAAAGGGAGACCACACTCACACTCTAGCCGAAAAATCACTACAGTATCTAGTAATCTGCGTTGCAAATAACTGGCTTTGAAAGAAGGAAGAAGCAACCAATGTTCGTTCGCTCCTGTGGCACAGATTGGATCGTGGTGAAAGCAAAAGCACTTCCCATCGTTGTGTAACTCTGGAGGCAGGAGAGGAGGGATGACAAGCACATCGCATCCAGAGGGCCAAAAGCGGGAAGGGAAGCCCTGTCATCAGGTGCGGGGAGAGCAGAGCACACAGAGACTAGAGTCGGAGGGCAAGTCCACATTACGATGGGCCTTGTGGGCCGGGCTCCAGGTCTGCATTTCCTTTTTTCAGTCAGTGTGATGCTGATGAAGAGCTTACAGCAGCCAGGTGATATACCCAGCTTCCATCTTTAGAACACACCTCAGGTAACGATGGGAAGAGTACAGCACAGATGATCAAGATCTAAGACTCAATCCCAATGCTTTCTCACAAAATGTGCCATGTGGACTGCCTGTGTGGCGAAGGTAATGTCCTAGGTTAGCAACGTTATTTTCAAAAGAGGGCAAACGAACAAACAGATAGCATCCTCAGGTAAAGATAGCAATAGTGTGGTAGGTTTTCTCAGGCGTAAAGTTTCCCACATTCAGCCTGTCATGCATCAACAGAAGTTCTATGAGGTAAATAATTTGCTAAGCATGAACATGGGAGATTAGGGCAGGAATCAAACAGGATAAATTGTGCCGAATGAGCACAAGCATAGATTGATTCTATGGTAGCAGGTGACAATAGCTAAATGTTCCAACTTCTTCACCTACGAAGTGATGAAATAACAGGTAGCCCTCCGGAAGGTGAAAAAGCATCTAGAGTGAGCAAGTAGAACATACTTAATAAACGACTGGCCAGTATTAAGGGGAAAGTGACAAATGTGAAGCCATGGAGAGTATAATGCCGCTCTGACAGTATTTGGAAACCAGTATGCCAGAAT